CCAATATCGTACTGATGGGAGCCTATTCAACTTAAGGCAACTGAAGGCCCACACTAAGATCCTAAATTACCTTGTCCGCGAGCTGCTTTTTGCTGACGATGCTGACCTCGTTGCTCATACAGAAGCAGCTCTGCAGTGGTTAACATCCTGCTTTGCAGAGGCTGCTGAGATTTTTTGGGCTGGAAGTCAGCTTGAAGAAGACAGAAGTTCTTTACCAACCTGCACCTCAGGAAATCTACCATTAACCCCACATTACCATAGGAAAATCAGAGCAGTGGTCAGTCCAGTAGTTCAACTATTGTCTCCGTTTAAGGCTCAGGGAGCAGGATTCTCTTTCTATTGTCCCCTACCCTCCCAGGGGGAGGATTAAAAAAAGAGGGAAGAGAGAAAAAAAAAAATGCTTCGCACAAGGTTGGAACTTAAGACTGCAACAAGTTTAATGAAAAACAACAGGGGAAAGGAAAAGGGAATTAATAAGGGATAAAGGATATTTAACTATACACAAAACCCAATCCCAGTCCAGTAGTCCCCAGTGGAAGTGGCCGACCAGTGCCTTGTGACCGCTGCAACTGCTGTGACTCGTCCCCAGAGACCGCCATATTGTTGAGGACGCAGCTGCGCTGGGCAGGGCACATCTCCAGGATGGAGGATCACCGCCTCCCTAAGGTCGTGCTCTATGGTGAACTCGCCACCGGCCACCACAACAGAGGAGCCCCAAAGAGGAGATACAAGGACTCTCTGAAACAATACCTCAATTTTGGCCATATTGACCACCATCAGTGGTCCACTCTGACCTCCAATCGGGACACATGGAGACACACCATTCATGACGCTGCTGTCTCTTTTGAGAACGCACGTAGAATCAGTCTTAAGGAGAAAAGGCAACGCAGAAAGAACCACGCCTTCCCAATACCGCCTAAGGAGACTTTCCACTGTGCCCTTTGCAACCGGACTTGCCTATCCCGCATCGGCCTTTTTAGCCATCAGCGCGCTTGCAGCAAGCGTGGGCAGTGTCCTTCCCTTATCTTTGTTCACAAAGTCTAGCCATGCAAAAAAAAAAAAAAAAGCATATTTAATAAGATGACTGTGGACCTTAACGTTAAGTTTGTACAGGCTTGCCTCCATGGGGAGTCCTTGCTCAGTGCTGTGGAGCGCTAGCCCCTGTGTGAGCAGTAGGTGAGTTTAGGGCAGTTTACATGACTCAGGCTAAGCCCTGTTCTTCTCCTCGGGGGCTCCTTAAGCGAGCCAGTTATTCCTGTGCTGTGCAAAAGCATGGGATAGGTCTGTTATATGAAACAAATATTTATCCCCACTGCATCTTTCACTGGTGGCTGGACTTTATCATACTACTGTATCATAAATTGTTTGCATGCATACAGTTGCATGATGAAGAACTAAATTTTAGTGTTTTCTGTTACATTGGCTTTTCTTTGAAGGGACTAAAACCAACATCCTAGTTATGTATATTTGTGTTCAACTCTGGAGACAATCATTACTGTTTGTAAATTGGCTTTGTTCTAATCTCCTTACTTTCAAGTAATTGAAAATTCGCTTTAGTTACTGCAGATCCTGAAGCTCCTGAAGTTTTCAGCAATTCTTCCTATTGAAGTATTCAGTGTGTTACACAATTGCTCTTTAAATGCTATTAAAATTTGCTGCTGAGAAAGAAATAAGATTTGCTATTAAGTTCCATAGTACTCGGATTTTAGATTAATCTTCTTAGATGTGTTAACTACACAGGTGGTGCTTAGCTAAATGGGATAGTGTTGATTGACAGCCACCTGAACATGAGCCAGCAGTGTGCCCAGGTGGCCAAGGCCACCAACAGCATCCTGGCCTGCATCAGGAATAGTGTGGCCAGCAGGAGCAAGGAAGTGGTCATCCCCCTGTACTCAGTCGTGGTGCGGCTGCATCTCGAATCCTGTGTTCAGTTTTGGGCCCCTCACTACAAGAGGGATGTTGAGAGGCTGGAGCATGTTCAGAGAAGGGCAACAAAGCTGGTGAAGGGTCTGGAGCACAAGTCTTGTGAGGAGTGACTGAGAGATCTTGGGTTGTTTAGCCTGGGGGAAAGGAGACTGAGGGGAGACCTTATTGCCCTCTACAATTACCTGAAAGGAGGCTGTAGTTAGGGAAGGGTCGGTCTCTTCTCCCTGGTAGCTAGTGATAGGAGAAGGTGAAATGGCCTCAAGTTGCACCAGGGGAGCTTTAGGTTGGATATGAAGAGGAATTTCTTTACTGAAAGGACTGTCAAGCACTGGAACAGGCTGCCCAGTGACGTGGTTGAGTCACCATCCCTGGAGGCGTTTAAATGCTGAGTAGATATTGTGCTTAGGGACATGATCTAGTGGTGGACTTACGACTGGATTAATGGTTGGACTCTATGATCTTAAAGGTCTTTTTGAACTAAAACCATTCTATGATTCTGATTTGAAATATGGTTCTTTCCAGGACATTTGATTATCTATTAAAACTATTAATATTAATGTGAAAATATTCAGTTAGGTTTACCATGCAGCGTGGAAGCTCTTTGAGTTTGTACTTTTTAAGCATAGTGAATAAGTTGCATGAAAAACACCTTTCTAAACTAAAAAGAACAATCCACAACAAAACTTGCCTACCTTCCCCCCAAAAAAAACCCCTAAACACAATCCCCCAAAACAAACAAAAAAGCCTTGTCCTGGTTTGAGCTAAATAGAACTAATTTTCTATTTAGTGATTTTACTTTTCAGCTCAGTCTCTCTTTAAGTGGCTGAACTTGCTGAAAACTGGCAGCACGTTTTTCCCAAACAGCGCTGCTAAAAGATGTGTTCAAGGTCAGTTGTTTCATCCTGGGTGCTGTGTCTTCATCTATGGGGCGGAAGCAGACCCAAAACTGTCCAACAAGGTATTCCATCCCACATACGTCATACTCAGTATAAAAACTGAGAGATCACGAGGGTCTTGACCCTTTTTCTGATACGTTTATTGAATTACATGGTATTTTTCTCAGGTCTTCTGTTACCAGGGTGAAAAGTTCTGTTTCTAACATTGCTGATAATTTAAAGAGATGCATCCTCTCATTGTCGTCTTTGAAGCCAATGTACCTTTTTTTCTTATTTTTTTTTCCTTAGGTGCGCTTAGACCATAATGGGAAATTTTATAATGCCCATATTCAGGAAGTTTGTTCAGAGAACGGGCCAGTTGTTGTATTTGTAGAAGAGCTTGGAGCAAAGTAAGTGCTTAATTTCTTTTGGAAGAACAGTGCCAACCTGAACCATGGTCATGGCAACATTGCTTCAGTTCAGAGTTGATTTCAGTCAGCCCCTGAAGTGTATCTACTTCTTGACTTGAAGCAGTAGTACTACAAAATTGTTAAGAAAACGGCATACTAAATGAAGAAAGGAAAAAGGGGTTCTGCAATGGCACTTCAGACCTTTTTCTTGTGCTTTTTGGAAATTACTTGCGGAGTAAAACAGTAACTATATAAATACAAGACTGATTCCTGAACAGATTGACATCTTCCTAATTAAGTGTTGTTTGTTGTGCTTACTAATTAGATGCTAGATTTGTGACAAGCTTTTCATGTTAAAAAGGCCATCAGAACACCTCACTTCTTTGTTGGTTGAGTCGCTCTGCCTGATTTCATTTGGAGAGTGCCAAGTTGCTGTTCAGATCATCGTCTTTGCTCTGCCTCTTTACAAACTGTTTAAAGTTGTTGGGAGTTGTGGGGGTTTTTTAAGTGTTGTCAGTTGGCTGTTTTTGTTGTATTTTTTCTGGAGGTCATGGTGGTTGATGTTTTTGGTTGTTTGGGAAGTGGAGTTTTTTTGGGTTTTTTTGGTACTCTTCTGGAGCAAAAAAATCCACAGCTGAGCATAGTTGAGGAAGAGGAAACACTTCCAGTTGAAGTAAATGTGGGAAACAGAAAGATAATCATTAAAAAAAAAAATTTTGTGAGATCTGAAGGTTGCCTCACAGTGTGTTCCCTTTTAAAATTTTATATTTAACCTGTTTTGAACTCTCTATTGTAGATTTTAATGTCTTCCTTTCAAATAATATAAACAGTTGCTTGGGCATTCTGCAGCATCCGCAGCTGAAAATGCAGTAATCGCTCTGGGATATAAACCGCCAACTTGATTTTTTCAATCTTTACGTCTGTTGCATTGTTTGTGATGAACTTAGCTGTTGACTGTATTGTTTTTTTTGATAGTTTTCCTTTTCTCTCTGCCCTGAAGACATTGTAATACTCACTTCACAGATGGCTGATCATTCTTTACTGGCTAAGTTTGCAGTGACTTATCAGAGAGAGTTGTGGTTTGTTTGTTGGGTGGTTTTCTTGTTTTTAAAAGGTTTGTTGTTCTACATGTTGCTTTAGTGTAACCATCATGAACTTTGAATGCAATGTTCTCAAAGACTGAAAGATCTATCAGTCTTAGTAAACATGTGGTGTTGATTTGTGCAAGCCTCAGTCTGCTCTTTGAGATGTTTTCCCTTCCATAATTCCTTGTTTTGTAGGCATGCTGTCTCACTGAAGAGCCTTAAACCTCTTCCGCAGACCTCTCCTATGGAGGGCTGGAACACTGTGCCAGGGAAGAAGATTAAAAAGTTTTTCCCAACGTGGGGGCAGAATGCTCAGCCCGGTAGGATTGGACCTCTCTTTGTGTGGCAGAATCTTTATTGTCAGATCTTTTGTTCCAAAGAGCTTAAAAAAGTCAAAGAATAATCTGTTTTCACATCTTCGTCACAGATGCTGATTGCAGAGGGCCAAAGGGTCAGAGCAAGTCAATAAAACCCCAGTCAGCACTACCTCCTCGACTTCAGCATACTGTGGGAACCAGGCAACATCAGTTCTTGTGTTCTGGACCTCAACCTCATCAGACCTCAACTGAGCAAAAAGCTCCAGGCAGGAATCCTTCCCAGACTATAAGGTAAAACTGCAAATTACATCCTCCTTATCTTGAACTCTGGCTGAGCTTCTTGGAGCCCAGGTGTCTGCTTCAGATGCTTCCAGCATGTTCTTTTGAAATGTGTTGCCATTGAATTCTTAAGAAGTGCTCCAAGTCCTTATGAATACACAGAAGCACAGGGAAAAAAAATTAAATTAAAAAAAATTTTTTTAAAAAACAACCTTTTCAAAATTACTGCCATTATGAGCTCCCACTTCTTTCCTTGCGTGGCAGCATCTCCCCTGGCAGCACCATGCACAAAACTGCAGTTTCTTCTTGGGAAGTGGATGATGTTTTTTTTCTGGTTGGGGCTGAAGTAATGTTGCAAGTAGTGTTTTCTTGGGCATGGCTAAGATCTTTCCTCAGCTTCTGCAGAACCTGTTGTAGAGGGCTGCTTTGTGTTATAGCTGATCACTTGAAGAAGTAGAACAGTATTTTGCCTGCATTTGTTGGTAGCCGTTTTTTGATTCACTGTGCTACTGCAGCAGGGTTCTGTTTTCATCATTGCCACTTTTCTTCTATGCCATCTAATAGACTGTTCTGTAGGTGGGTACAAACCCAAACTCTTCATGGTCTATTCTGTCACTCTTCTGTATTGTGACCCCTTGTGTAATATGGGGCTGAGGTGTCTTTGGAGACTGCCATATGCAACATTTTAAGGGCCTTTTTCTTCCTCATTTAACCTAAATATGTGAGGATCCTAAGAAATGTAGTTAAGTAATTCATAAAGCTCAAACAGTAATGTTAATTTTTCTATAGTGATGCTTCAGACATTGAAAATAATAATGTGTTTTCCCTTTTGTTGTTGTATTTGCAGAAATCCTATTCCTCAGTTTTCTCTTGCATGTTCATAGATAGCAGATGGGGGGTGGTCAGTTTTCAGTTGACACAGAAATGGATTAGATCACTTGATGTAGGGATTTGGTGTTTTTTAACTGTGATCTAATACCATTTGTTATGAAGTCTTTCAAAATGATATTGAACTGAGTAAATCATGGACAAAATCTGTTCTTTCCCTTTCTTAAATTTTATGTGTATGGGTAACTTGTAAAAGGCAGAAAGGGTTCTGGTGTATGTGGAATCATGTAAGCAATGCTATGTAATTATCTTCTTTATTCCTTCTAAACCAGGAGCTTGTACAGTGTTTGGTACTGGTGATATTTAATGGCTTTGTCAGAGTGATCCCGTTTCATTTTTGCCTTGACAGAAAACCCGACTGGGAGAGAACAGAGGATCTGAACCATGGCAGCAGAGACTGTAACTACTTTGGCCTCTCTCCAGAGGAGCGCAGGGAGAAACAGGCTATAGAGGAATCTCGTTCACTTTATGAGATCCAGCAGAGGGATGAAGAAGCTTTTCCTGCTCTTTCCAATGTATGCTTTTTTTCATTTGTAATTAATAGTGCATTTTTTATGCTTGTCCATGAACCTTTAATTGGCAATTTTTGCTTTGCTGTCCTTGCATTGCAATACAATTCAAAAGCTGAGGATATTTTCTTCACACTCACTTTCTACATAGAAATATGTGAATCTATGATGCTCTATATATTCAAGATAAGACACATACCTAGTGGTTTTCCCTGGGAATAACAAATGTCCACCACATGCAGTTCTTTAGGTGTGTAAATATGGTAGAGTTGAGAGCTTCTGAAACCATGGGCTTTTTTCTTCACGTTCCTCGTGTCTTTGGAAGGCTTTGCTCTTCCCTGCAGGTATTCATGCTGTCTTTTTCTTGTGTGGTGGGATCAGACTTAAAGATGAGGACAGAACTTGCTCTGAAGTACAGTTTAATTGGAGAAACAGCTCAGTAAAATGGCACTGTGGTGCTTGAATGGGTATCAGAGGTGACTAGGTTGTTTCTGATTTGTTTCACGTAAAACTTGTTTTATTTGTAAGTGACTTTTCTTTTTAGCCTGAGAGCTTTTTGGTGGGAGAACTCACCTGGCACCATAAGTAATGCTAATTCTTTTGTCAGATTTGCTCTTTTTCTGTTGTGGAGCTTAGCTGGCTTCAGTGGACTTGTCTATGCCTGAGGGAAGAATGTAGCCTTTACATTTTGAGAGATTATTCTATTGATGCAATTTTTAAAGAAAGGGGACTGGAGCATCAGTGCATGCAGGGAGCGAGCAGATTCTGTGGGTAAAGAGCTGCTGTCTGCATAGGTTTATTCTGTTATAAGCAGATGCTGTCTGAGTGAATTAGTTTTTGTTTGTCATGTGAACTAATGACATGAATGCTTTTAAAGGACATTTCACAAAATTTAGCAATGAATGAAAGAGTGGAGGAATCTGAATGGTAATGGTCAATACTGCTTTCCCCTCCCCCTGCCTTTTTGCCTATCATGGAGATAAGTATCATGTGCCATTAAGGTGCAATAGCATCACTTCAGATGATGCAAAGTGTCATCAGACTTATTATATAAATTCCTATTTCTGCTTTTGTAAACTTCTTCAGAATCAGTCAGTCTGTCAGGCTGCTGCACAGCCTGGGGATAATTTAAACCAGAAGAAGTTCTCAAATAATGAAAGAAGAAACAGCAAGTGGACAGCAGAGGCAGAAGAGCAGAAGGATAAAGGTAAATAGAAATGTCTTCAGATCAAGGTCTTTTTTTGGTTTGCTTGTTTTTATTACCAGCCTTGGAATTTATTCAAGATGGGGCATCTGTTTAGGCAATGGGGCAAAAATAATCATGCGTAGTAATGCTAAACTAAGTTAGGCTCAAGGTAGCAAAGGTGTGCTTGGGGAGGAAAGTACATGTTTTCCCGCTTTGTGAATGTTGCTGAGGTAGCAGGCCCCTTGCTGGGATTTTTGTAATAAATGGGAAGAGGAATGAGAGAAAGGAAGAGACTGTCAGAGCCACCCAAAATTGGATCCCATTGAAATTCTAGTGGGTGTGACAGAAAGTGCCAGGCAGGGAGGGGAAGGAAGAGTGGGGAGTATTAAGAGGGCTTACTACAGTTAAGAGAAAAGCAGGTAAAAGTATTCAGTGTGGCATGGTTAAGAATTAGCCCACTATAGCACATGAAAAGGGGAGAAGGTGGTGTACTGTGTAGTTGATTACCCTCCCCATTTCAAGTAGAAAGAGCTGTCACATGGTCAAAATTTGTTTGCCGTTTCTTTCAATCCCCCCGATCTGTTATAACACTCTTTAGCTTCTCTTCATTGACTCTAAGCTTTTCTGTGAGGAAGTGAAACATGGCAGTAACAGATGAAAGCTGTAGCTGTCAGGAGGGAGGTAATGAATCTTTGCTAAATGCATCTGAGAGTAATTTTTTTAATTTATTGTTCTATTGGCTTTGCCATAACTAAACAAATTTGGTCTTAGCTTCTTCTGCTTCTTTTTTTCCTGACTAAATAAAATTCAGACGCTTTAATCTCCTCTTGGAAGATGTTCCTTCCCTCCGTTTTAATTTTTTTACATTTGTTCCCTTGTCTCTGGCAACAGGAAAGGCATTGCTGTTGCATGCTTATGAGACTCATCAGCAATGCCAAAAAGATTGTTCATGTGGAGAAAGGCCTTTACTACAGTATCATGATAGATTTTGCTAAAGTGTGTGGCATGTACAACAACTCTCTCTGTTTTTTGGGTTGTTTTTTTTTTTTGTGACGCTCTGGGTTGTGTTGCCTCTTCTGAAACTAGAATAAAAATCCTGTGAGAATAAACCATACTTCCTTCTGAGTATTTTGAGATTCCTGTTGGTGCTTGGGGAATTGGCAGTGATTATCATAGTTTTAATATACATTATTGTCTCATTGTGATGGTGCATATAGTACACTTTTAAAAAGCACGTATCTATTTGATGGCTACTATTAACTTATGTGCATGAATTTGATAGACAAGCAGTGGTAACCAGATTTGAACGTAAGCTTAGGATGTGAAGAACTTGTACGGTTCTTAATATATGAAGATGATGCCATGACTTTTTCAGCACCCTCTTGCCCCACCAGTTGTTTGCTGGTGCTTGAGAAATTAAACTTTCTGCATCAGTCTGAAAACTTTCTGCATCTTGTGAGCCACTGAAACCTCCCAAACTGATCTGTCTTTTACTCAGTCAAAAGTGGACAAGACTTTAAGCGTCTGTTAATCTTAACACTTGAATATGGAAGAGCAAATCAAAACATTTTCACTTCAATCAAAGTACAAACCTACTGCTTTTTCACAATGAATGATACGCATTTAGAGAGAGAGCTGCATTTCTTTCTTGCTTCCTTCAAGCATCACCAAAATTGTTAACAAACATCAGTCAAGAACTCCTGTAGAGCTCTGAAAACCCAGGTTGAAGTAACTGCTCGGTTACTGCCCTAGCAACTGTTTATCTCTTAGGATGCTTTGATCTGTGATAAAACTTGAATTTTTCTAAAGTAATGTGTGCTAAAGTAGGTTTTGTTTTGAAGGTTTAACTTTGGAAAGAGAAACTTTTAATTGGCTTAAGTTGTGATAGCCATAAATGGTGTAATGGTTTGTTTACCAGGTTATGTCTTGGTTTTACAGAGTCAAATTCCGGGCAGGTCCACTTGAGTGAAAACCTTGAGTCAGATTCATCTGAGGTAATTTTAAAGAAAAGATAAAATTTTTAAAAATATTATTACTTCTCTGATACATGGTTAGCAGAGCAATAGCTGCCTTTGTAGCTGTGAGTGCTGCTGCTGCTGCTTTACAGCTTTTAGTGAAATACTTGTAAAATTGGAGGCTTATATTGCTGTTAGCTTTTCCCAGCCCCTGTAACCCATACTTGCAGCCTTTCTCTGCAGTCTGAGTTCTCAAATCTGGGTTATCAAGAGTACTTATGAATCTGGATTTGTAATTGCTTGGTACAGCCTGTACTTTCAGTATAATGGGACCACAGAAGAATTGATGTTTGCTAATAGCTGCTGTGCTAACAGACCAAGTTCAGTGAAGATCTGTGGCCTCTTGTTGGCTTTTACCTTTGCTGTCCCTTCAATGAGCAAAATGCTACACTAGTATAATAGTGATTGGGTGCTTAGCCCAGTTTGTGTGTAGTGTGGTTTAATATCTTTGAATGCCTCTTTGAAAAGTAAAACTTACGATTAGGCTTGCTGTGTCTGTTGTTTCTAACTTTGCTGTAGAAGAACAGTCAAGATGAGAGTTGTCCAAAAGCTTCATCTACTTTGGAACAAGTGAAAACAGAATCTCCGATTCTTGCTGAGCAAGTAAGAAGTGTTTGTTTGATTTCAAAGTTTTTCAGTCAGGAGACTTCAGACAAAAGGGAGCTTCACCAAGCCATGTGTGTATTATAATACTGGCTTTTAATTAGGTACTCATTTCCTTGGTGAATTTCTAGAATTTCATATTTACAGTTGGGAATCTGTTGTGTCCAACATACAGAATGTAAAAGGACAACCCTTGATACAGATGTAAAAGTATATTCTTTCTCATATGAGGGAAGGATTATTTAATATCTTTCTTCTAAGATAACAGTGGTTTTCACTTCAAATTCTTTACCTTTGCTTTTTTCAGGTTTCTCCAAGGTTATTGGAAATTTTTTCTAAGGGTGGCTTTTCTTTTGGATAGGAGAGACTGAATTTAATGCTTGTGGAGGTGGTTATAACATTGACTGCTGTCTGTGGTACAGGCACATTCTGGGTAGAGCTCAGTGCAGAGCTCTTCACACAGTGATGTGATGTATCTCAGATCTCTTATGTGTACAGCCTGCTATGTTACTAGTTGATATCCTGCTGTGGTGGCAGTGTGGACAATACTGAGTCATCAAGCTTGTTTTGGTAGAAGCAGACATGTTAGGGGTCACCAGCAATGATGATTTAGAATAATTTTATATGATCTCTTTGTTTTTGTAGAACCTGACAGAATCCTTACCAAGTGTAACTCCAACACCCTCACCAGTCTTTTCTGAGGTGCATTTGCGTCCAACAGTGCCTTCTGTACCAGCCATTGTGCCAGCTTGGCCAAGTGAGCCAGCAACCTATGGACCAGCAGGTTTGAAGAAATACTAACGTAAATCAGGAACTACTAACCCTGAAAAATACATTAACTGTCTTGCTAAGTTGCAGATGCCTCCAGGAGACACTGTTTCATATACCTTCAAATTCCAGAAGCAGTAGTTTATAGGAATGTAGTTTCTCACTGCTGAAAGCTAGTGAGAGTTCTAGTAGATCTTTGTTTGCCCTTATGTACAGTTTGCTTTACTCCCTACCTGAAGGTGGAAGTGTGATGTGTACTTGGCGCTTTGTTTTTCTCGTGAGCGGGATGGCATTGAGTTTTGAGGGCACTTATTCTGAGGATCTGCTTAAGGTAGAACATGTCACCGTACAGAAGCTTGATAGGTGTTTGTGCTCTGTCGCATGTTAACAAGCCCCACAATTCACTAAGGACTCAGCGTGGGATTGGTCCATCTGGAACTAACAAGATCCATTTGGACCTGACCTGCAAAACCAATGTCATGGTTTTTCTGTGCTGCACATATCTTCTGTTACCTGGAATTACCTTAAAGTTAATGTTGCCTATTAGATCCAGTGCTGTATTTTAAGCTGATCTAGTTAAAGATGTCCCTGCATACTGCAGGAGGTTGGACTACTTGACCTTTAAAGGTCCCTTCCAACCCAGCACATTCTATGATTTTAACCCACGGTTGTGTTTCTGGACAAGAGCTAGCTTTCAAGTCAGCATACTGTGTTTGCATGATACTTTGGTTATGGTAATAACCAATATCCTGTCATACCTGGCCACATCTGTGACAGAAGATGCATAGCCCAGTTAATCTGAGCTCAGATTCAAAGCAGACCGTACTAGACTTACAATGAGAGCTGCAGAGATTCACCTCTAAGTTTCAGCTTTACCGCCGCTCTTTTTTTTTTTTCCCCTTCCTGTTTCCTTCTTATATTCATAGTTTTAAAAATAATTATGGGAATGGTTTAGCTATTCCTGGAAAGTTTAACTGCTTCACTCTTTCTGAAAACTGTTCTCTGCATTTAGCCAAAACTTAGTTTGTTTATAACTTCTCAGCTCTCAAGTATTTCCTCTTGTGTTTTGCTGAATACCTTGTTTGTTGGGTTTTTTAACTTCTGTCTTTTGAAACTTACTGTCCCATTGTCATTTTAATTTGTGATTGTGTCTATATATATATACACACACACACACACATGTATATATGTATATACGTATATATATATGTGCGTATATATATAAAAGTATGGGTTTTTCCCCTTAGGTATTCCAGCCCAAATACCTGCTTCTTCATTGATGCCAGCCCCAGCAACGGGACCTGACTCTATTGTATCGCAGGCTCAGGTAACATCTGCTCCAGTTGCTGGAGTTCCTGTGTCGATACAAGCAGTTAACCAGCCCTTAACACCTTTGCCTCAGACTCTCAATCCTTATCAGGATCCGCTATACCCTGGATTCCCTTTTAGTGAAAAGGGAGAAAGAGCCGTTGCACCCTCTTACTCCCTGTGCAATACTGCGGAAGACTTACCTAAAGGTGAGAAGCTAGAAGGAGGTCTGGATTTTATTCCATTTTTCCTAATAGGTTTTCTTAAAATGTAGATAAAGACAATTTCTTTGGTCCTGTTGTTGGTCTGTGTCAAAAGATCTGACTGTTGTCTTTCCATGATTTAAGGCCAGGGAGGGAGTATTGAATAGAGTTGTAACTCTTTAGTATGTGTTGCTGACTTTTTGATCATTTTAAGTGGTTACACCTGAAAATCATTTAATGGTTCTTAGCTTGACCTGCCATAACTTGTGGTGTTGTGAATGTAAAGGATTTTCTCTGGAGAACTGCTTCCTTTTTCAGTAACAGATTTCCTCTTGTAATCAAAATGTTCCACAACTTCCAAGCTTTCCTTACTGGTGTGGGAAAATGCAGGGTTTGGCATACTAAATATGTGGAATATGCTCGTAAGGAAGACATAATGTACGACTGCAGTGTTGTGCGTTACCTGGACTGTTTCTTGAAAAAAACCAGAAGTTCAGTTCCACAAACTGAAATTTAAACTGCAGTTGTGTGCTAGATATCTTACTGTGGCAAAAAACCCACTCCAAATCAATCAGACATGTGAGCAGCAGCTTAATACCCGTGTTTCACTACTGAAACGGAACTTTATGCGGGGACTAATTTTTTTATAAGATGAAATGTAATATTTTAGGTCTTCATTGATATTTTTCTGTTTTTTTCCTAGATAAGAATATTCTTAGGTTTTTCTTCAATCTTGGTGTGAAGGTAACTCTTCAAACTTATGTTTTTGTGTTGTTATGCCATAAGATTTGCTTGTATTTGGTAGTATCTACAGTGCAGGTTTGGTTGCTGCAGCTGTACGCTTCAAGTTCATCTTTAAATTTGAAATACTTTCTCATTTTGTCTTCTGTTAACTGGGATCCCAACACTGGTCCACAATGCAGTTCAAGTCAACAGAAATAAATCTTGTCTCGCCAGTGATATCTGTTTCCAACTCTGGCAGTATACAGTCAGCAGAAAATGTGCCTTACAAATTCACAGGTACACCATTGTGAGTTTGAAGATGTGTTCTTTTGGAGGCAGGGTCTGGTAAGAGGAGAGGTCCTCTTGACTTTGACCATGTCTATGTACTGGCAGAGCCGTTGCAGTACAGATACCCAGTATGGCTTCCCCTGTGGACACTCCCATAAGTAATCTGCATGTCTGTCCTTTCTGCTCAAGTTAAGGACAACAGTATTTTAATTTTAGCCTTATAAGTAATTATAGCAGTGGGTGGTGTGTATGTGTGGTGCAAATCCATGTGTGTGGTTGAGGAAGAGGCTCATCCAAACAGGCAACGCTTATTAAGGACTGGTTTTTTTTTTTCTTCGTTTCTGCCTTCTGCACATAAAAATGTACCCTTTTTACCTTCTCTTACTCCTTCTGTCAGGCAAACTACTTTGAAAAAGGTGCTGAATGCTCTCAGGCTCATTCCACATTACATCCATGACTTTGGACTTGCCTAATTCAAGTCTCTTTTGCTTATTAGAAAGTCTAAGTCATGAGTAAGTGCCATTGCAGTATATTTAAACATCATTTGTTTCATAAGCCTACGTACATTTGAGACTCTCCTTACTAGCACTTTGCTTTATTTAGGGTATAATCTGTCCTTTTGGTGCTCCAGCACCACCTACTGGTCAAGTCCTATATTCCAGCAGCTGTGGTCCTCACTCAGCTGGTGACCAGATGGTATGGCAGACCTGGGAACTGCTTTCTGGATTACCCTGCACACTGCTTTGGTCCCATGTCGCTGTTGTGCTGCCATCCACACCCTTCCAGCTGCTCATTCGGAGTGAAGTGACCAATTCCCATAGAGAAGGGCTCTGGGCAGGTTTCTCAGGGCAGATTGCTCCAGGGACAGATGGCACAGACAGGACTGTTTTGGGCTCTGCCCTCTACCTGCTTCAGTGTTTTCTTAGACAGCCTTGTGCCTCTAGCAGCTTTGCGTGGTGTTCTGTATGGCCCGAAATACTTATATCCCCTGTGTGCTGGTTACCGTGGAAGCAGAGGAGAGGGAATGGGGTCGCCACCTGAGGGGGGTAACTTCAGTATTGTCAACATAGCTCGCGTTCACCAACAGCACAGGAAATGGTGTGTGTCGCTGGTGTGACTCCCACCAGCAGCTGGAAAGTTCAGTGTATGTTCTCATGAAACCTATCCCCCTACTTTACAAAAGGCTTCTAAGAAAGCTGCTCTGTGGGCTGTGGGAATACATGGATTTCAATCTTTACGAATTGTCCTTGGGGCAATGATCTACCTTTGGGTCTCTCTATAGTCTGTTGTTTTGGATTTTTTTTTTCCAGTGAAAATATGTAGGACTTCTTGTTTTGATTGTTACCCCTTAGAATTTTGAAAAATTAGCTAGTAGGACAAATTGCAGATTAAGAATTGTGATTCTAGACAATGAATTTCAAGTGTGTATCTTCAAATGCATAGCTAAAGCTTGACTTAATATTATTATGCATTTAAATTAAATATATAGAAATTATGTTACTAAGTTCTCTTACTGGTCATAACTGTTGCTCATTTTAACTGCATTTGGAAGAAAAACAAAAAAATGAGAACATCATCCTGGAGTCCTGGATATTCTTTAGAATTGAGGGCAGTCACTGTAAATAAAATTACCTTTACTTCCTCTAACTGTTTCAAAATGGTAAATTACCTGTGTGCTGTCATGTCTGTCTGAACATTCAAAAGACCAAATGCTTTCATTTTTTTCCCGTCTTTCAGGCATACAGTTGTCCCATGTGGGCACCCCATTCTTATTTGTATCCCCTGCACCAAGCCTATTTAGCTGCTTGTAGAATGTACCCAAATGTGTCCCTTCCTGTGTATCCGCACAACCCCTGGTTCCAGGAGGCTCCGCCGACTCCGAATGAAACCGAAACTGCACGAACAAACAGGCACTTTCCTGTTCAGAGCGAGGGCAGATCCAATGGTCAAGTTGCACAGGTTGACAGTAGATCTCCATCACTCCCTCTGATCATACCTACAGCTCAGGTGTCAGAAAGTCAAGGACAGGTCTGTGTAGAATCGGAGAACCCAGTGCAAGCTCTTCACGCTAACTATGAGGAGTCCCTGAGAGGGAAAACGATGTTCCCACAGCCACCTTTTGGACACAATCACTTCCTTGGAGCTGTTCCAATAGCACCTCCTTTCTTTCCTCACTTTTGGTATGGGTACCCAGTTCAGGGCTTCATCGAAAATTCAGTAGCAAGACCTAATGTTGTCATGTCGCCCGAGGACAAAGAGGCACCAGCTGGCACCTCTGCCAACATCTATGTGGCTAAAGAGTGCAGCCCTCTGGCTCCTGTGGTAAACTCTGCAGAACAGCTTCAGAAGACCAATGGCAGCAGCAGCTCCAGCACTGTACCCTTCCTTGTGACTGGTGCAAGCGGTGAATGCAGTGCCCTTAAGGAAACATCAGCTAGAGCACCTCAGTTGGAGCAAACTTGTGCTGTGGCTTCCCCAGCTAAGCAAAAAACAGCTGGGCAGCAAAATCATTCTCCACAAATCCAGGGGACTGCAAGGCAGATGGCTGTGCCCAACGTTCCGCCGCTGTTGGCAGAACCACCAAAAAATGAACTGAAAAATACAGTTCCTGCTCGTAAGGAGAAGACTGATAAGGTTAGAGATTCCAAGGGTGCTGGTAATCCTCAGCCAGAAAGCAGGGCACAGAGAATGAGGGAGGAGAGCTCTGAAGATGAGAGTGAAGTTTCTGATATGCTGAGGAGTGGCAGATCCAAGCAGTTTTATAACCAGACTTACGGAGGAGGCAGAAGGCCCAGGCTTGAGTGGGGTTATTCCAGTAGGGGAGGATACCAATTCCAAAGGAACGAGGACACCTGGAAAGGACCACCTGGCAGAAGCAGAGACGATGGCTACCAGTATCAGCGAAACTTCAGAGGGAGGCCATACAGGAATGACAGGAGAAGGGCAGCGCTGGGAGATAATCAGAGGGGGCACTGAGCATAGGAGGGATGGATAATTGAGTACTTTAAAATGCAGACAGGAATTTGAAGTAGCAGTTTAAAGTATTAAATCTTTCTTTTTAATAAAGTTCAAGGGTATGTTTAATTTTTGGTGAATAAAAGCTAGGAGGACATGAACTCCTACTGTATGTTTCTGGGGGGATTATAGTTTGTTTGGCTTAGCATTTTGTCCCTCAATGTCAAATTAGGAAAAAAAAATTAGTTTTTTTCCCCACGAAGGTTTGAGTTTGTGATAGAAGATGAATACATACATTTACTAGTGACAAATATAGCATTTGATGTGATCTAGATTCTAAATGGATGGTAACATTGCACCAAATATAAATGTATATTTTATCATACAATGCCTTAGTTCTGAACTGAGCTAAAGGAATTCTCAGCCTACTGCACTGTTGTCTTTGAAATGCTTCCAACCCAAAGGCCTTTCATCTCAAAAAAAGAAATCTGTCAAACTTGAACGTTTCTCTTCAGTGTGTTACACGTCTGGCAGCCAGCTAACCCTGTGTCTTAGGAATGTTGTATATAGTTCTTTTAATATTCATAGGGTATATTTTTGAATTTTAAAAAAGCATTTACTTGTTGAAATCAAAATCAAGATGAGCAGTCAAGAATAGCTGTGTATGAACCAGTAGGGATGGCTGTTTCCACCAAGAATTCTTAATGCTGGTGTGACTAGAATGGTGCCTATGCCAACTAAATAATTACAAAGACAATAAAAATGTAGATGCTATGCATTTCCAAAATAATTCTGCATCTGTTATAATAGCAGAAGCTTTTTTAATGCCACTTTAACACTAATGCACTGACAAATCCTAGATATTTCTTGAGGAGAGATGCATAAAGTACATGTTATGTTTTATTCAGTTTGTATGATTGAGCTACTGTTCAGTATTTTTGTTGTTGCACTGTTGATGCAAATTTATGGTTTGCATGTACAGCTCCTTGCTGGAACTTCTTTGGAAAGCAAGATGGAAAGTCGCAGTGTGTTCTTTCTTCAGAAGAAAGTGGCTTCTGCCTTATATTTTTACACTGTATCAGAGTTCTGATGCTGTTTCTTCTGACCCTGATGATAATGATCTCTGCAGTGTTCCTGTTGCCTTTGCAGTTTGGATGTTCAGCCGTCCAAACGCAGAGTGCAGTGTGCACAGTATTCACTTGGCTCTGTTGCTCTGTAAAATTAACTGTTGTGTATATTTTTATATCTCTGTACATACTTGTGTAGGTGATGGTACCCTTTCATTCATGTCAGATTGTACACCCTTGATCAGGAAACTTGTGTGATAGTTCTGTGATGAAGAATTTCTTTTCAGATGCATGCTATGTATAAAACCCTAATTAAAATAAATGTTTGTCTTTTCACTTTCTTCCTAAATTAATGTATACATTTAAAAACAAGAGGCACTTGTAGACAGCAGCAGAACTATAAATACTTAGCATGTAGGCAAGCTGCATACTAAAAGGGTACATACAGTTCTAGTTCTTGTCCAAAATAAGTGGGAGGGGCTATGCTGGGGGATATTTTTTTTTAATCTAAATGCTTTTACTAAGTATTAAATACTCACTATTCAGAATTTCAAAAGAGGCAGTCTTCAGTTTTTCAGGCTAAGAACCAAGCAAGCACTGAATGATTTAACAGCTGATAGCATTGCAGTCCTATATACTACTTACAAAGGCTTAAAAGGGGCATCCTGAACTCTTTCCTGGGAGGTTCCAAAATGTAACTCTAGTTGTAGCCCAAATGTGTCCAGGAGCCACTGCAATAATCAGGACTAGAGTAGGCACTTGTGAGCTGCATTGCAAGAACAAAGGCAGTATGCGTTCTACAGAAATGTTTTGGGAAAGAATGCAAAACATGGGCATGGCAGTAACTGGTAAGGCTGTGCTTTTTAGATTTTACTTTTCAAAAGTGACTTTAAGCTGGGCTGTGCTTTGCATTGCTGCTTTAGGACAGATGTGCAGATGTAGTATTTTCAGTATAATATAGATGGATTTATGTTGTCAGACATAGCAAGGTACAGTGTATGTAACACCTGATACTGCCAAGGTTATAAAACATCCAAGTTACAAACACAGCACATAATGGCTTTAAAAAAAAGACAAACCACTGCCTTCTGTAACTTATAAGGCAAAGATGCAAGTAAAGAACAAAGCAGAGTTTTCTTTCGTCTCTCATAGCATTTTTTTTCACATGCCAATGAAGGCAAAATAGGCAATTGTTGCATGGAAAACACACTTACTTCCTTTGAAGAGACATAGCCAAGTGTTATTTTTTTACATGTTTGCAAAACTTGTGTGATATTTGTGTTGGAACCTTTAAATATAAGCGCATTTGTCTCTATGCAGGACCTTGCTTTATATGGAAATTGATTTTTAGTAAGATACTTTATTTACTTTTGTCTATAGTAAGGATCAAAGGCAAAAGTACCTCTTGCATCCTAGCCTTGTAAAAATATAAGGATGGCTGGTGCCAGCACACAGAGCAATGATTTGGTCCAGATTCTCCCAGCTGCCAGTAAGTCTGAAGGATTAATGTCACTCTCAGTTGCCCTGCCTAAGAAAACTGGTTACCTATTCAGCAAAGCAGCTGTGGTTTACTAAGTACAGAAAGCATGTTCCTAAAAATAGTAAGTCTTGTAGGATGTTTGCCAAATGATGCTTAATTTTAATGTGCTTCTAAAAACTGAGATTATCTTAGTCACAAAGTACTGCTCTGATGTGTTACCTTGACAAAGCTGTATTTAGATTATCAAGTTGTTACAAGCTTTTAGTTCAAGTGTTCTCTTCAGCTCTATCACAGCACAGGAGAAGCTGTTTGCTGACAAGGGGTCAGTACTTTGCAAAATGGATGGCTTTCTTACTCAGCAGCTTACTTTCTATAGTATACTGTAGTTTGTAGGACAAGCAACTGGAAAACAGAGCCATGAACCTTTCTTAATGTTACAGGTGTAAGTTACAGAAAACTGAAAGGATTTTAGTATTTTCTTTAAGACTTTATTTAACTGATTCTTCTCCTGTAACTAGGTCTTAGAAGATGCACAGGGATACAGGACTAAAATAGGTATAGACCTCTTCCTTTATATTGTTGTTATAGTTTATACTCCACATTTTGTATGTTCCTTTTATATAGTATGAGAAAAGGTGTGCATGATATCAGATAAATACACACATTTTTGAATTCATCATTAAGAGTTTTAGCACTGTGTCACAGAACAGTTGTAAGTTAGGAAGATATTTAGTTATTAAACCCTCATTCAGAGAGATTCAGCCCTTTTAAAACAGGAGTTGCTTCTGTAGCTTGATATTCTTGGTAAGCCTCCCTCTCATAGAAAATGGGTTAAATGATTTTTAACATGAAGAAATTCAGTCATGAACCAAGTTCTGAGAAGAATATATTGAACTGAAAACCACCTTTAAATTCTGAAAAAGCTGGAGGCGGTCTATTTTGAAATCATTACATGGAAAACAGGGCTGTGTCAACAAAAATATAGAAAGTGGCAGTTTTACTCAGACTAGGATTTACACTGCTACTGCTCTCAGATGTTACACGCAGCAAGAGTTTAAGCTCCAAAAGATGAAGTGTTCTAAAACCTGATTAAGCCTTCTCATCCACAAGTGTTTAGATTCCAAGATGCATTTCTATATGCTAGTTACAGAAGATGCTCAGATTCAGTATTTAGTCATCCAAGAAAAAGTAGTTCCCACTCTTCTTTTGTTCCACATCCTTGGGAAGAGGAAAAAAGTCAATGTTACTTCAAGTAGTCTTTGACAGACTCAAACATAGCTGAAATAAAAGTCACTTATCTAAACTCCTTTCTGCTTTCCTTATTACTCTTATGTTTATGCTGTTTTCCAGCACAGCAAAATTACCAAGGTAGTCTTTGATTTGTTCCCTATTTTAAAACCTGGCTTTATATTAAACAGTCTAACAGAGCTTCTTTAGCAGTGCCTCTCACTTACCTTGATTGAATTGAGTTTGTTTATTCTCGGTCTGTAATTGTTGGGGTCTCTTCTAAAAGTGATTTCAAGTTGAGATAAAAACTTATTCATTCCAGCCAAAAGTGTCTGTGGACTGAAAAGAAAGAAGGAGCATTCTAGCTAAAAGTTCTATACTATGTAGATTACAGACAGCTTTATTCTCCATGCTGAGCTCATTCAGGTCTGGTAACACAAACATGAGCTGTATTTGACATACAGGATGTACTACATTTTCAGTCAAATGTCTCAAGTCGTAACTACTACTCTCACTTTTCAGCAGTATCTCAGCACGGCATTACAAGTCTTCAGACTGCTACTTTTAGTCTTTTTACTTTTTATCTACAGAGTTGTGTGTGCTCGCACATTTAGTAAATAACATTCAAAGAAAACAAGAGTTGCACTGTTAGCAAGATACAACAAAAATCATAATGTGTACTGATGCTGAGAAACATGATTATGTGGTTGTGACTTTTTAATTCAAAACAAGTACATTCTTAGAAGGATTACCATTCAAACCAGGCTAGCACTGTTGTAAACACAGTAAACACATTGCTAGACCAATGTGTTTACTACATCTAGCTCACATTAAGTACTTGGTAATTACACTGTTCTGAAAGCCTGGTTTCTAATGAGGCCGCTTCTCAGAAAGTCTCTGTAATTGACATGAAGTGATTTATAAGAACAGAAGTAGACATATCGAAAGGGCCAGCTTTTTAAGAGTAAAAATATAAGACTGTATGTTGCTGTCAAGACTTGCACTTCACAGCATTTGCATACATGTACTTCGTCTGGAGCAGGCTGAGGGGAGACCTCATGGCTCTCTAAAACTACCTGAAAGGAGGGTGTAGTGAGGTGGTGTTGGTTCCTTCTCCCAAGTAACTATCAGTAAGATGAGAGGAAATAGCCTCAAGTTGCATCAGGAAAGGGTCAAATTGGATATCAGGAAAAATGTCTTCACTGAAAGGGTTGTCAAGTACAGGAACAGGCTGCCCAGGGAAATGG